TTAGAGGTCCTTTTCAACCTAGATGAATCTATGATCCTAACATGCAAAGATGAAGCAATCTCTTTCATCAAAGATGAGTCAAACACCAAGATAAGAAATGTGAGCTTTATAGGGTTGAGAAGTGGAGTTTAAGTCACATCCTCTGATATTTTATTTATATTGTCTGTTTGTGTGATACAGCATGCTTTGTGATTTGGAATGCCTTCCAATTTTGACCTGCTATAAATTCTTGAAGACATAAAATGGCCTTTCAGCTAAAGATGTACAAAGAGCCCACGTAGTAAGGTACCTGACAAACACGATAACAGCTTTGTCTCTGCTCTGCTCGTACCTTGCCTCCTTTGGATTCTAGGTTGGTTTTTCTGGTTTGTATTTCTTTTGATTTTTTTTTTTTTTTTTTTGGTTCAGTTACATTAGTATTTTAGGAGCTGATCACACAGTTTATGCTTTACTCTAAAGGAATCTGTTTAAATTTGTCATGCAGTTCAGGAAACTGTCACAGGTACCTTCAGTGCTACCAGAAAAACCCCGAGTGGGTGGGGAAAATTTGCAGCATGGTTACAGCTCTGGAGAAGGCCACAGCACGGCCTTTTCTTGTTGATTTTTTTCTGAGCTCTTTACGTACACAATGAACACAGAAAATGTACTTGCAGCTGCACCTCTCTCTAGATTCTCCACGTAAACCTTGAATTTTGCTTTCCTTAATTAGATCATGCAATTTGTAGTCACTTTTATCTAGGAAATGCACTAATGTCACAAAATGAGGACATAAAAAGACCTGAAAATTTTGGAGTAGGATTTTGCAGTAAAATAGAATAAAAATTATTGCCTTCCTTATGGTTTATTTTCTGTGTATGTTTGAGAAGTTTTTATTGAAAAACCACAGAAGATAAATTCTGTCTGTTTTACACCTGTCTAAATATATTTTCAAGTATGTTCCTGTTATGCAGAAATTTTGCTAATGAACTCCCAGTTGAGGTTTGGGCATTACAGTAGTGTTCTAGATAGCAAAGAGCTAATCTGAGTGAAGATAAAGTAGTTTCTCATGGAATTATATTTGCAGATTGCCTCCAGTGCATGCCAGCTGTAAAAAGAAGGTACACATATCATTGTACCAGAAATCAGTTTTAAAACAGCAAAAAAATCTTTGGATTTCTGATTAGGGCAGCTCTTCTGCACCAGAGGTTGAGAAAATCATCTCAAAAAGTCTGCTAAAAAAAAAATAATAGAGAGACTACTGCTATAATCATGCAAATGTTTCTTTAAATGGTAAATTTTATCATCTGTCTGAATTTTCACATGTGTGTAGCATTTACTGTACAGCGTCCCTATTCCTGTCTGGGAAACCGAGGAAGCAGTCATACCAGTCAAAAGAATGGAACCAGATCTGTAGATGTGCATATACCAGCAACTTGGAAAAATTTATAACATATCATCTGTATTGCACAAAAATGTTCTTTAAGACATGGAGGTATGCAAAATTTGTTCTTCAATTTCAAATGGTGTCAGCACTCTTACAGAAGGTGGAATTCAGCCTGGTGTGTCAGGGAGGCTGCAAGGGGAACAGGCTTGAATATTGATTATTTGATGCTGAATTGCAACCCAAAATTGTTGAAACAGCATGTATGCAAAACAGTGTTTTCAAAGCTGAGGTTAAGGCCAAAGTGTTTGCTCTTCCTGCTCAGGAATGGATTAAATCTGAAATTCCAACATTAACTTCCTTTGCCCTGTGAGACTCATCTTGGAGAATGAATCCACTGGTTATATTCTATGTTGAGTTTTTGTTTTGTTTTGTTTTGTTTTTCATTTCTCTTCCTCCTGCACTTACCATTTGGGTTAGCAGAGCACACAGTATTCGCCATGGTCCTGACTGGGTCTTTACTGCAATAGAGCAACAGAAAAAATAGCAAGAAATAGCAAGTGAAATTTTTGGTTTCATTTAATTTTCTAAAATTAGTCATAAATCAATAACTATTGTAGATTAATATTCATTTTAACCAAAGTTAGTTGTCTGAGGATGTGAGAGAATTGATAGGCACATGGTACTTTGGTCTAGACTCCCTAGCTTATGGGCTCTTTCTTTGTGACTTTTGCTTTAAAGAGCATTGTGTAGAACTCAAATGACAGAAAGAAAACATTCTTTATGTTTAGAAATACCTTGTCAACATTAGTAACTGAATTTGGAAACACTGGTGGTAGTGCCATATAGAGTGCAAAATCTGTGACCTTTCTGGATAAATCAGTTTGGAATGATTTGGACATACAAGCTAGAGAGTATACAATGGATTGGACTCTAGTGTGTGTCTGGCATTTAGAAACCAAACAATAAGGGAAAAGCTAATTTTAAAATGGTAATGAATAGACTAACCTAATCCCAAGTAAAACAGCACATCCTTACTTTTACTGTCAATGAGCTTAGTTACCTTATTGGGAAAAGATGCTTCTTGTATTTCATAAGATGCTGCAGAAGGATTCAGTGCAGTAGCAGGTTTGTGATTTACTAAACAAGGATGTTGCACATTCATAGAGGAGAAATGAATATTTAGAATTCAGCATGTCCCATCATCTGACATGTTATTAATATATTTAAGTAAAAGTCATGACAGCACAGTGGGTTTACAGTTTCACCCTCCTCATGAGAAATAGCAACCACCTAATTTCCCTTGAAACCTAGCTTAGAGTTGAGTTGTACTGTTAGGATCTGACCAATTGCAAGTGAAGTGATCAAAACAGGTACTTTAGAAATTAGTCTTTAAGTTAAGCATAATGCTTCATTTAATGTATTTCCTCTGCCCCTTCTGTTCTAGGATGTTCTAGATGACCAATGCACGTTTAGGCAGTGCCATATGTTTACCGTAATGCCGTCTGCTTTGAGAGGAATGAAGGTGTTCTACCCAGTTGTGCAGTTCCCTGCATTTTGATTACATTGGCAAAGCTTAAAACTGAAGTCTTTGAGTGAATTTGAAAATGGTTCTGTCAGCCTACAGTGCAGTTCTGCATGCTGTGGAGCAAGGATAGACTGCCTTGCTTCTGGGTAGAGGTTGCCTTGTGTCCATCCATCTCTCTGTGAACGAGTAGAATGAATTAGTGAGGATTTAGTAAAATCAGTAGAATTTCGCTTCATATGCCCACTATTTTATCCTATGAACTGTTATGCCTCAGTTGCTTATTTTCCTGGCCCCTTACCTTATTGCAACCCGAACGTGGCCAGGTTTGGCGAGTTCTATTTATAAGAGGATGTGTAAGTGGGCAGATATATCCATTGACAGAAAATATGAAGGTATCTTTTTATTCGCAAAGTTGCAGGTGCACAAGTGAAGTTTAGAGCATTGCAATTGAAATTTAAGTAGAACATTCAAAAATAAATCAAATTTCCATTTCCTTTGGTCTGCTCTATCTAAATTGCAAAAAGAGTCTTACTTTGAGATTGGGGAATAGAAACAAGGTCGAAAGTGCTTTCTGGCTCTCTTATAGTGAAAATCACTGAAATATCTTTGTTTCTTAGCATAGATGTTCATAAAACTTTGGAGAATAGATCCTGAAAGTCTATTGTTCTGTAGCATATTTATTCATATCACAAAAGCTGCATTAAAATAACACTGAGGTTTTAAGAAAAGTATTCAGAGAGAAAGATTAACCTGCTGATCCTTGTCTCTTAGGAAGAATGTTCCAAGTGAGTTGACAGGATACATTTGAAAGAGATTATGACTGGCACTCACTTGTCCACACCAGATTTTTCAAATTCCTGAAGTTGGTATGAGCAGGGACAGACAGTGATTCAGAAGACATCATAACTACAATTTTATTCTTGTGGGGAAGCTGGACAGGAGTCCCACATACTCTTGCAAACACCCTGAACTCACCTACTGCAGTGTGAGCGATGAATGGGAATTTTGATGCTACTATTTCAAGCATGTTGCTTTCCTTCTTGTATTCCTGTCTCACTACTCTGGATTTTTTTGGATTTCCGTGATCCTTGGGTATTATCTAGCTCTGAGGCTCAACAGCACAGCATATTAATGGAAGTGACTGTGATCTGCTCCTCCTCTTCTGGGAATAAAGTTTTTCCAAACTGAATGAATGCTGTCATTCAGAGAAGTTCTGAAGAGAAAGAATATCTGTTTGCATGTACCTATAGCTAAGAGCCAAAAGCATATATCCCTTTTCCTTTCCTCCCCTCCCTGCTTCCTTCTTACGGGTGTGTGACCTCACACAGCTCCCTGCACTTCCATACTACATTCACAAAATCCTTGTAAGGGATAGTTACATTTAAAAAGGGATTGCAGCTAGGTCTGCAGTTGGGAGATTAGTTATTGAAGAAATGCCTTTGCTATGCATGAACCAGTTTCAGATGATTGTATTGGTCCCCTTTGGGCATGAATAGTTATAAAAACAAATAAATGTGTGGGTTTTGAAAAGTAAAAATATGTTCTTCCCAAATTAATTCATATTTTCAAATTGCCTTGAGATCTACAGATTATCATTGTTTATTTCTAGAGGATGTCATTGTTTGCTTTTTTTCCCTGAAAGTTTGCTTTGGATTACATTTCCCCCCAAATATTACTTTTTCAAAAATAAACTCTTAAGAATAGCTTCCTCTGAATCTATCAGATCGGGCATTTTGAGATTTCACCAATTTCAGATTGGTTTTCAGATTTCAAAAAAAGACTGAAAACTGCCCATTTGTGCAGTTTCATACTGCACAAGGATTTTAATGGAGTTTTTTTTAAGTCCAGTGTGACTTTATATGGCTGCAAACTGCATCCTCAATGCAAGATAACTGGATCATTTCCTAGAAGTGGTATTTCTCTTAAGCATTTGTTCTAAATCTACAAAGATTCAAAGAACACCACTGCCATTGAGAACAGTGGACAAGCTTCTTATTAGTTACTACTGGGGAAAGTTGACTTAAAGCTTCCTAAATGAATTAAGAAATGCAAACCTATTGACTACTGAACAGGTTGCTTGCTGGCCTTCTCTTTTTTTTTTGACAGAAGAATATTAATACAGAGGCTGCTTCCTCCAGTCGTGTTAATAGATATTCTCTGAGACAGATCCTACACAAAGATCAGATCCTGATTCTGGAGACGTCAGGCAGCTTTGAAATGTGAGCCCAAACCGTGAGGAGATTGAGACCAGTAGAAGGTAATCAATTTTTTTTTTTAAAAAAAGTATGTAACATGTAAATCTTTAAAACAGATAAAGGGTATTTTCCTTTGCCACAAATTTGATAAGCACATGGCAGAGTAAATTGTCTTGAAAGATGCAAAACTGTGTATATCTAAATAAAGGTAATATAAAATTGTATACATTAATGAGGTGTACACTGATGAGGTGAGCTGCTTCAGGTAGAGACTAGTACTGCTGTGGACAGTAGAAAATCTTATGACATGATCTTCAATTCTGAAAGGCTAAAAATGGACCTGCTTATTTTTTCACATGGGATCCTGGTAATAAATATTACACAAGCTACTTCTTTTTCTTATGGCTGACCTAAGAAAAGTCTCTACCAAGTTGTCTTGTGTCTCTCTCCATTTGTTGTGTATGTGGCCATACAGACCCAAGTTGTCAGATACTTTTGGTAAGGAAGAGAGAAGGTGCTTTATATATTGTGTTGCCTGTTCCTACTAAACAGAAGTTGAACTAGAGTAAAGCAAAAACTTCATTGTATGAAGTCTGCAAACATTTCTGACTATCTGGAGTTGCTGTATGTTGTTTGACCAAAATCTAATTTTCTTGCTTGTTTAGCAATTTCCTGCTATAAAAAGTCGTTCACTTTCTCTATTGAATCCTTTAAATGTAAGCTGTGTGAGCATCTGAACAGCCAAATGTGCGTGCAGAATAACCTAATTTCTAACATCAATATGACTGAGGATTTCAAATCTTTCTGGTTTAGGAATTTTTTCCTTTGCAGAAAATTGTTGACCAAAACTCCTTTGGTTCCTAGTGGGTTTCCAGGTGAACTCTGAGAGTGAGCAGTTCAGAGGAGGTTGAAGGTACCCAGTCCAGATATTCTCTTGCTTCTTTTTGTGTAGCATGGTTCTTCCAGATAACATAATGCTGCAGTTTAGACAGCTGCAACCACAACTTTAAGATAGAAATTTTCCTGTTTTATAATTGTTGTTAAATTCTTGTTACGCTTTTTTAGTACAAAATACCAAAGAAGTGTGCCCTCTAAATTAAGGGAGAGTGTTCTCTGCCAGCAAGAGCAACTCTTGCTAGGCAATGTTAGACTTCTCAGTCAGAAGCTCCCTCTGAACACAGGATTAACTCTCCCATGTGATGACTGCCATTTACCAAGGCAGAAGGCTGAAGACTTACATTTGTGATCAGCTTAGAGGGACATAGAAGCCCATGGTCTTATGCCTCAGTCTGATGTTTAGTCTTGGTCCACTTGGCACTGAAGTCCAGCCTTTGTTTACTGAGGGTGGAAAAGTGTGTCAGGAAGAAGAAAAATCTGAAATTGCAAGAAGAGTTCTCCTCCACCTTTCCTGTGGATGGAATTCAAAGCTTTACAGAATTGTGCATTCTGTCTTTCATACATATCTGGAAAGTCCTTTCTCCTTAAAGCCTGAAAGCAAAGCCAGTTCAGACACTCTAGTTGTTTTACTTAGAAACATGTTCTACATACCATGTATATTTATGGATGGGCAATATCTTTTTTAAGTAAAGGCAGGTTAGCAGGTGCAAGTCTAGGCCTGTTGTTTTCGACAGAGGTATTTAGATTTGCTGTAAGATGAGAACATGCAGGAAATTCTAAATAAACTTTGTTTTGTCAGAAGAGGTAAGAATGTCAGGGTACCAGGAGATGCCTTCTACTTTAATAATGAAAGTTTACTGCTGATGTTGGCTGCACTTTCAATTATTTCACCTGCCTTCTGTTGGTCATTTATATATATATATATATATATTACATGGTTGCCACATGGGCTTGTGTGTTTGTGATTCATTAACTTGCATTATTCCTTAACAATACAAAAGAAATATCCACTAAATGAAATAAAATAATTAATTACTGAACACAATGACACCATTCAGCCCTAAATTTTCACAACTAGAAGGATTAACTAAGTATGTAATGCATCACTGAATGATTTAACAGAGCATCATAACTCTTTTCTTTTCACCATAAATTGTAACCTGGAATTGGTTTTGTAATGGTAATTGCCTTATCTTCATAAATTCTACAGTCTTACATAATTTAACTAGTATTGTAGCAGGATTTCCCAAGAACAAAAAAAGCAGGTGCTGTCAATGGTAATTTAAATAAGAAAAGACACGTTAAGTGGTTCTTCTTTCACTAGTAATAGAAATTAATTAGCTTTGAGCTGCTTTGGAGGTTTTACATTTTTTTGCTGTGGCCTGTTATGTTTTATAATTGTATGGAAAGTAGTTTTGATTTGATAACATTATCTGGTGTGAGAGTTCTGCAGGAAGGCAGAGGTACATAAGTCAAATGTCAGTCTGCCTGGGTATGGAAACTGCAGAGGATCAAGAGTGTAAATTAAGACATTCTAAATAAGTTTCAAAATCTTGGCAAAGGTTGTGCTGCAGTTCTGAAATATGCTGCTAAACATTTCTTCCTTTAAAACTAGGAGCTACTGAATCCCTTAAACTGTGGCTGCTTTAGACTGACTCTGATGTAAAATGTTGGAAAACAGAATTGATTCATTTAGATTAAATCAGTGCAAAATTTGAGAGAACAGGCCCACATATGAAATATAACTACTTTGTGTATGCATAATTATAAGCAATAATTAGCCCTGTTATATGAATTACTCTTGGAGCTCAGACTTTCTAATAGTCATTTAGTTTCTCTTACTTCTAGGTGATTTTTTTTGTGTAATTGCCAGATCCTGTTCCTATTATTGATGGTTGAGAATGGATGTCTTTATATCTGAATGTGTAAATTGGGGGTGGAGCAGGTGGGAAATAATCCTTTTTGAGTTAAAGTGCAAATTGCAAAAGCTGCTACTTTCCCAAGGATATAAATTTTATCTTTAATGTCTACAATGAAAGACCCAATCGTTCAAAAGCAGAATTATGGTCATACTTCTTACAATTATGGAAAGCAAAATATTTAATATGCTGATTAACAGACAGATAGTCAGAGACCTGTGTCTTGTTTCTAGGTTTCTAGCAATTCAGTCAGCTTTCTGTGCCTCAATAAAATGGGATGGCATCCTGAAAGTGAGGCTGGGTGTCAGTGTAGAGTTTAAGCAAGCATATCAAGCAGAAACTACAGAGGAACTATATTGTTGTCTGTTCATTTGTGACATGGTGAATCTGCAGTCCAGATAAGCTGTTCATGAATGATTGAAATTGCATATTTCTTAGATTCACAGGGAAGATGACTTAAAATTTATATGTTGTTAGAGAAACTATAAGGAACATTATAATCATTGTGATGTATGCATGCTAAAGAATCAGATTTAAGACTGCAAATGGCATCTTAATATCAATGCATGTTTATTGTTAAAATAATTTTGATAGAAAATTTTTTTTACATAATTTTTGTTTTGACCCCCCCTCTTCTTGAATGCTTTTTACTGACTGTTTTTCCTAATTGTGTTGGTTTTGTCTTTGTGAGCTTTCATTTTAAATTTGAGGCTAAATTTGGGTTGCGCTTTTCTTTCTGGTGTATGGCAGTAAAAGTACATACCCCTGAGGAAAGAAAATTCGGTCTTAAAATAAACAAACTTGGAAGTTACTTTCTATATCCTCTCCTCCTCGGTTTCTGTTCTTACTATGTCATGGTACACTACGCAGTTCTCCAGGAGTGCTGTAAATTTGTTCGTATGTAATTACAGGCACATGGAGAGTGGACCAGCTATTGTTCCTGAGTAATTCAATGACTAGGACCCATTGGACTTCAGGTATTGTATACTGAACTTTGAACAGAAGTGCGCCAAACAGATCAATTGTCCTACTTTCTACTAATTGAGCAAGTCATACAAGTCTGTTCCCATGAACAAAATAATTCTTCTTGAATACATGCTTTTTTCTCTTACAAGGAGCTCCTGCTGCTGTCACTACAGCTCCCGAGGTTGCATCAGAGGGCATCAGCTTGTCTGGCAGTGAAACTCTTTGGTCTTTGATTCTCAGACGTTGCTGCTGAGAAAACAGAGTTCTCCCATTTCTGCATGTGGCAGCACCAATTACTTTTTTCCTGCCCTCTAAAATGTAACATTTAGTACATGATCTGCTTTGCTTCATCTACTTTCCTCTTCACTCTTCCTGTTAGAAGAGCAGTAGAAGAAAAAGACATGTCAGCTTTTGCTGCAAGGCCTGCTTGCAGATATGGGAGCTGTGAGAGAATAAAACAAAAAGAGCATATCTTTGGACAAGTTTTAGTATGTTGGCTAGGGCTACAGGTTCCCAAAGAAAAGGATTTTCTCCATACAGGGACTATTAGCAGAGTAAACTTTGTATTCTGGCCTACTGGACTAAACAGAAATTTTTTCACCCTTTGTTTTGTCCAGTGATGAGCAGAGAACTGAAGAGCTAGTGTTCAACAGATTCCTTTTGATGTGCAAGAGCAGCAGTCATGTTGAGCATCCAAGCTGAAAATCTGTGAGAGTTTTGAAATTAATAGGGCATTGTTTTCAGATTCTTGTAAGTAATTTAGAATATTTGAAATTAGACTCTGAAGTCTTAACTGTTTGCTGCAAACTTTCTTTAGTAGAAACACAAGAGGTGGGTCCCAGTTTCTGCTCAAATGTAACAAAGCTGCTCATATTATCTGATAACAATAATTTGTTTTATAAAATAAATATTCCTAATCACTTCTTTAAAAACAGATTGCAAATTAGCAGTCATTCATGAGTAACAATTCTTCCCTCTCTTTTGGATTTATTCCTTGGGTTTTGTTTTAAAATTTATATTAAGTATATGAAACTGTGTGGTGGATGGAATTTCAATAGTGGTTCTGTTGTTGATTGTGGTCTTCTAAGATCAGGGACATAAAGGTTCAGAGGAGCTAGTCAAGTCAAGATTAAAACTCTGGGGACGTCTTTCTGCTAGAGACAACCAGTACAAAGTTAAGCCAACAAAATAGAGCTTAAGCAGGATTTAGGTGCTCTCTATATAGGCATTTTTCTGGTGTTCAGGAGAGCTAATGCTCATGTTCTTCTGAATGCACATCTGTACAAGGTTACTGTTAGAAATACAGGAGCTTTTATGGTCCCTCATCTGTGATTCAGCTAATTAGTTCAACTAGTGAGGTAACTTTTGGCTCTTGAGTTGAATGATTCTGAGAGGTCTTTTGCAGGCTATTTTAGTTGTCTTGGATTTTTCCCCCTTTCACTGTAAAAGTAAGCATTCTGAATATTTTTGTCCTAATACTTGTGAGCCAAGAGCTAAGAACTCCAATGCTGTATTTGGTCTTTTATTTAAATAATTTAAAAAAACTATTCTAAGAGGAGAAGTCTAAGGAAAAACCTTACTGTTGTCTACAGCTACCTGACTAAAGGATACAAAGAAGGCAGAGAGATTTTTCTCAAGCATGCACAGCAATACAATGAGAGGCAATGGACACAAGTTGGAACAGGGGACATTCCACTTAGATGCCATAAAAAGATTATTTTTTCTTTACCCTGTGGGTAAATTTTCGTCCTTGGAGGTGTTCAAAAGACTCGACTAGACAGGTCCCTGAGCAAGCTGATCTGATTAGACCTGTTTTGAGCAGGGTGTGGGACTAGATAACCTCCAGAGGTCCCTTCCAACCTAATTTATTTTACAATTCTGTGATTCTATGAAAACACAGAAATACAGTCTGGTATGTGATACACATGGCTACAAGTGCCTATGGTGGTGAATTGTAAAGGTCCTTACTGTATGTTATCCAAAAGAATCATTTGAGAGAGCTGCAGGAATTAAAGGGTGTAAGATGTGTCTGGGATCATCAAACTATACTGCAGAGTATCTTTTTTGTTTTTTTAAAAAACAGCCACAAAAACTATGTAAGTCAGAAAGATTAATAGAAGGCACCCCAAGCCTGAGGAGGTATCCAAGAGGTATGCAGACAAAGCCGGGAGCAGCAGTTTCCATGCTTCCCTCCATGGGCCATCATGGAGGGTGCAGAAGCTGATATGGGGTATGTCATGTATTGTTGGACACAGTAGGAGAGAGAGATGATGCCTAAGAGGACCCTTTTGAATTCAGTGCTGTCTGTGCATCCTCTGTAGACCATAATTGTATTCTTGCAGATCGTAGCTGGAGCAGTAGTAATAGAAAACCTCCTGTTTCCACTGAAAGTGGAAGCAGCTACTGAAAGTGAATCACTTAATGCCAACTAAATTAAAAGAAGGAAAGCACTTGGAATAATTCAACAAACAATAAGTGGGCAGCAATCTAGAAAAAATGATGCATTTTATGTGTTCAGCATATTTGCAATGATATTTAATTACTGTTGTGAGATCTTGGGAAATCTGAAGGCAAGTACACTTTATTTCACAATAAGTGAACACTTTTATTTATGTTGAAAAGGGTTGTCTTGCTTTTCTCTTGACTGTGCTGGCAAAAGGAAGGTGACAGAAAGAAGGGGGCTGCCTCCTTCCATTGCAGCAAAGACATTATTTTCTCAGAGCCTTAGTTTCAGGCTTCTTAATTTTTCTGTCAGGGGAAATTTCATTTCACTTAACTTAGGTCACGACTACAGAAGAATTGTGAATAGAGTGATGTGAGTGAAATGTTGTATTCCAAGCTTATGTAACCTGTCCGAAGATCTTGCAGTGGGTCCAACATGATTCGTAAGGGGCCTTTTCAGCCTGGGTGAATGAAAAAAAAAAAAAAAAATCTGGCAGTAAATATCAAGGTCCTTTGGTTTTGTTTTGTTTGTTTTTTGTTTTTTTTTGTTTTTTTTTTTTTTCTAACTTATTACCATATAATAGAATTTACTCCTGCAACTTGCATAAATGCACTTAGGAACAAAAACAGCTTTTGGATTGTAGTTTCCCAAGCATAGAACCTAGATTTAATCATTGGGATACAGAGCTTACTTTCTTTCTTTAGGTTAAGCCTAAAAAGAGACAAAGGGAAATATTTGTTGGTTGACCTCTGGCCCCAATACAAAATATAGAGAGAATAGTGATGAATCTCCAAAGCCTGCTGGCATAGTAAAGTGCTTGGTATTCTATGAAAAAACCATCATGTATTCCCTAAATAGTTCATTTTGTTTTCTAAAGTTCTGAAAAACTCACTTTATTGAAATGCATGTTGTTGCATCGATTTTTCTAAAATACACCTTGTTATCTTTTCTTTGGTAATTGGTGACTGGTAATGACTTTGGCAATTTAACATGTTCTTGCAGACACTTTTCCCATTCCCCCAGATAACTGAAGTCAAGAGAGAGGGCCTGTCTGTCAATCTCTGATGCCTGTCAACCTGCTTGATTGGCAGGTTTTGGTCCCACAATAGAGACCATTTCTACAGCCCCCATTCTGTTATTTTCTTCTTTCTTAATACTTGTGGGGGATGGTGTTTGCTTTATAATCTGTGTTTAAAATCCAACTTGGAATGAGGCCAGTTTCTAAGAAATTATCACAAAGTCTTCTTAGCTTTGCATCAAGAAAATTCTCTGGAGAGTTTCCTAAGCTGTGATTCCACCTTCCGAAATTACCTTTGCTCAAAACCTAAGCTTCATTGTTCCTCCAGAATCCCCTTCAAAATCCAGCAACGAAGCTGTGAGTTCTGCCTAATATGTTTCGTTGTAAGAAAAGTAATTTGTTTGTGCTCTACTTTATTTGGGAAGTTCTTACTCATGGGATAACTGGCATAGAAATTTTTGCACGTAAAGAATGTAAGCAAAATATGTGAGACTGGCAACGGGGAAGGAGAAGGATATTTGCATTATGAGAAAAAACTCTAAAAAAGAAAACAAGGAAAGCTTCTAGAGGGAAGTGTAAGCATCTTTACTAGTTTAAAAGAAGCACAATTAATCTGTCATTGTTCATTCCCAAAATTATGCATTCCTGCAAACATTCTAATCAACTTGGCATTAATTCACTTCATTGTGAATTAGGATTGTGCACTACGATTGTTTCTGATGAGAGTTGTACTTAAAATTTAAGACTTCTCTTGATGAAAGAAGAGAGTGTGAGGAGAACTGGTTTCTGTATTTAAAAAGTATCTTCGCTTTTGTGAAAAAAAATCACATTTTACTTGAAAGCTTATGATTGTAATTTTAAAAATAAAAAACAGTTCAATGTAGGTGTAGAATCAGTTGCTGCTACCATGATTTATGGAAGTAAATGTAACTGCTATGTCAGTTAACTGCCTGTAGAATCAACAACATTGATGTCATTCCACTCGGTGCAATTTGGACAGGAAGAGAAAGGAAACTAGGGGTGAAGAACTGCCATGTTGGAGTCTGAAATACCTTAAAGGAAATACACTTACCAAATACGCTTACAAGGAATTAACCCCATAACACTAAAGTTATTCTGATTAATCACAATATCACAGGAACCTGTTGGTTCTTATGGGTATTTTCCTGGTCCTGGTACTCATGCAACTAGGGTCTGAGCAGTGTGCTGAGCAAATGCCAGTTCAAATTCACTGTTTAGGGGTTGAGGATTCTGTTACAGACAGATACAAGAGCTGGATGCTAGACTCAGATGTTTTTTGCTTGGAAAGGACTGTTCTATTTGTTGCATGGTTCTTTTTTCCCCCCAGTTGTTTACTGAAGTGTAGACCAAAAAAACCCTCCAAACCCAATAGAATATATTTAATAAAACTAAGATCCTTCTCCTCTGGTAGCTCTGTATTTGTAACATCCGAGTTTGAACATAAAGAATAAACAATAGGTAAATTTGGGGTTTTGGTTTACTGTAATAACAAACAGAATAAACTAATCAGTTCTCAGATAGAGTCCAAT